CTTGATACAGAAGTTTTCAGCTGGTTATTATGTCTTTGGTGGGAAAAAAATGTCTTCTTTAGTCCCCATTTGTGCAAAACAAAGTATCTTCTGTATTTGGGAGATCATTTGCTCATTAGCACTTTGTCCTTTCATGCAAGAATCTTCTGCAACAGAACAGGAAACGGCTTCTCCCTGGTGTTAGGTCACCATTTATTATCCAACGAATCTGAGACTAAAGCTGGAGAACAGCTCATGGGCCATGACCTAGAGACAGTTCAATTCAGTAGTTAGGGGAATTTCATGTGAAATCTGAGTTCTGTAGATAATTTCTTGGCATGGAATCAAAATCCTTTTCTATTCTTGGTCCCCTTCACAACAGCTCCCTATATCTGCATCAACCCACTTGTCTTGCTTACAAAATGTAAATGGTTATTTCCTTCCCTCTCTTGCTTCTCAACAATGAAACAATATTATTTATAAAATAAGCTTACTGTGCTATGAAACTGCAATCCATTTCAATGTCAACTGCACAAATCTCAAAACTAAAGCTCTCGTAAATCTCTCCAGGTTTGAAATAGAGGTCAAGCCATGAAATACTTTTGTTGCTGATTTAAAAAACAAAACAAACCAAACTACAATGATTTGCATTTCTTTTGAAGACTTAGCTTTATATTACAGTTAACTTTCATCTCCCACACTGGCACAGAGAGGATAGACTGATTGACCATATCAAATGGATAACTAAAAAGACATGCTTTCACCCTTCTCAAAGAATAACAGCAATTTCAGCCCTGAAAGAAACAATGTGGTGGCTGCTTCCTGTGCCTTCCCATAGCACCTGTATCTGCATCTGCCTGACCAATTCCATCTCTGCAGGGAAACTCCTTAGTGGAAGGGCCTAAAGTTGATGCTTCCAACTTGCACACTGTGAGTTTCCCTGCAAATTCTTCTTCTGATTGAACTGGTGTTTTCTTGGATGGTCTTTGGAAGTCTCTCTCTCTGCCAAGCCCTACTTTAAAGACAGCTACAAAGGCAAGGGGGAAAAAAAATAAAAAAAATAGCAAGCTATCCTAGTTCCTAGTCTACCATTATTAATGTTCACTGATTTCACCACTGAGCTCTGGGTAACCCATGAGCTGTCTGTCTTTTCTCACTCTTTTTTTCAAAGCCTGCTACATACAGATAGTATAAGAAGAGGGCTGGGTTTCTACACATCTGCCAAATGCAGGTCCTGCACTTCCAACTGCCAGCACTTAATCTAAAATGTATTGCACTAAGCCAGCAACAAGTAGATATATTTAACAAACAAGTTCAACAAAGGGATAACTCTGTCAGCCTTATATCATCTGCAATGTCTCTAATGAGAACAGGAGGCTCTAAGACTCTGCAGGATAACTTTCTGCTCAGCTGGGGCTCTCATGGGTTGCAGTCTTGGGTCTCACAGCAGAGAATCCCTACAAGGCTAAAAAATGGGGGTGTGTGGGATCTAACACAGAGATGTTAAAGGTTACCAACTCCAGGAAACTTCCATTTTATTTCTTCCATTTATCTTCTTCTGAAAGTTATTTTCCATGCTCCTGTTTAATTTATGACTAGTCTGACTAGGTCAGGTTGAAAAGGGTTCTATTAATGCCTGAGATGGAAGGGTTTATTTTCAGAAATAAAAATTTGAAGCGAAAGATTTTTTTTGCTAAGGAGTATAAGCACGCTGAACTGTGATTGTCCTTCTTTGCCTGGGCTCAATTCCACAGGTCACTTATCTACTGCATTCAGTACCAACAAGACAGGTCCTGTGAAGAGGAAGGCTTTAATACTCTTTTCCTCCATGGCCTTCTACTTTTGGTGCTTCTCTGCCAGCATCACCTTTCATGCATGCCTAGATTAGAACTGACCACAGCCTCCTACACATTTTTAAGGGCTATCAAAACAGCACTGGAAGTGTTGGAGTTGCCTAGTGCATCACAAAACTCCACTATGAAGCTGCCCTTTCACTTCCTCCTGACTGCTTACTGTTCTTCTACAGCATGCCCTGCATCTGCCACTTGCAAACGATCCATCGTCTTTCCCTCAAAAGGCCTGAAGAGCAATCTATTTTGTGATTTTTTAGCAAGCAAATTAATCTCAGTACTTGCTCAATTTTGACAGCTCTTCATATGAGTTTGAAGCAGCATATCTTGTTTGTTCAGCACTCCTTTGAAATCATGTTAATTTCTGTAAGCGCACTTTGTTTAAACTGGAGATGATAACACCATAAATCCATTGTAATTTACACTGAATTAATAAATCCCTCATTTATACTTCATATCTGTCCAAATATACCAAGATTAATACTAAATCCATCCTTCTCACCTAGTTCATATAGTTGCTTTGTTTCAGCTTCTGACAAAAGCACTGCTGAAACTTTTGACTATTTGCTTTCTTTCCACTTCTTTTCCAAGTTTGCCAGGTTAGCCTGTTCTCAGTCCATCTTCATGCAACAGAGAAGCTAAGCATTTCAGAAAGCAGGCTTTCTAGCTGCCTGCATCATTCCTTCTTTCTCAGTTATATTATTTAAATGCAGGTAATCAATCATTATAATTAAACCCCAAGGTGGAATATTATTTCACAGACACCAGCCATGAAAGTGTTGCAGTAACAAGTAACATGGCAGGTTTTCATGACCTTTTGCTAGATATTCCTAGCCATTACATTTTGCATTTGGTTAAGTTTAGTGTAGAGAGGACGTGCATTCAAATATACACTGATGAACACATTTTCTGGGACCTAAATAGTAGCACCACTAGAAAATCTTCCCTATTTATTTTAGAAAGTGTTCAGTGCCGCTGCTCACAAGTTTTTAACTTAAATCCAGAACAGACTTTTCAGATAGCATTCCTTCACAACTGCCTGCCTTTTAAGAAGTATTTTTGTTGCCAATTGGAGAGCTTCTATGGCATAGTTAGTAAGTGTTGTTAAAAGTGAGCCTAAAAATACTTCTCTAACATTTAGTAGAGAAGAGGACACAAACGTTAAAAATAATACATTCATGGATAGCTCAGGGCATGTACATCTGCAACGTTAGTTGTCTTCCCCCATGGTGGACAGCTGCTCTTCTGGGTACAGCTGTTACTGCTTCTCTGTAAGCTGCTAGTTTTAGGCCTTTAATTAAGAGTCCAGTTTAAAACAGTGCATGCCAATAATATCATAGATATTTCCTGAAACATACTATGAACACAAACCACAGGTAGCACAAAATTAAAAAAAGCATTATGTGCCTAATGCATTTGGTACCATCTGATCTGATCAAACCTCTGTTACGGGAGTCTTTAATTAGCTCACTAGTGAAAATACAGATGTGGCTACAGATGTTCATGTGGTTCTCAAGGAAACTGAATTTAAAAAAACCTAAAACACACAAGGACCAAAGGAGAGAGCAACAATGTACTCCCTATGTCTAGGTGGCAGTCAAGAATTTGTACAGAGATTTAATTGATTTTAAAAAGCAGGTAGTCAGACTTCAATTAAAAGTCGACATATTTAACAGCTCAGTAGTGAGTTGGTCACCTAACATTCTACTTGTTAAATAGCATTACCAAAAGATGTAGAAGGGCTTTCTGTGTATATGAAGGCACCAGCAGAGATAACCCTACAAGGAATCAGCCAGCTAAATTTACCCATTAAATATACTGCTTATGAAATAATAATCATTGGCCCAAGCTTTATACATATTTGCCAGAAAACACATGGAACTGAAAATATTTGTTATACCAATGCAGCCCACTAGAGGTCAGGTTACACGAAACAGTTTAAAATATATTTAGTAATAAAGGGCAAAGTTTAGGCCACCACCCTCATATATTATGAGAAGCATCTGGGTTGCCACATGGATCATAAAGTGACAAGTCCTTTAGAACTTTTGGTTAGAACAAAAAAAGCTCATAAGATGATCGTGGGCTTGAAGAAATACAAACCATAATAAATAATAATAGTTGTTATAACCCATTAGTTAGATGGTTTGGATTATCAGATTGGAGCAGGTTTCTTTAATAGAATACCATAGTATAAAGGTTGTTGGGTCAGTTTTAGACCTCTTGCTATACTGCTTGAAAATATTGAAAATGGCAAGCTGAACTATAAAGAAAACCCTGAGACTTTATACCAGTCTTCTATACTGATAAGAAAAAAGAACTTTAATGCCAAGAGATAGTTCTGCATTCCTCTGTGAAAAAGACACTTAGTATCACACATCTGATCATACAGCATGACAACATTAGAATCTTACAAAAAAAACCAGATATAGGTGAATTTATATACAGGTATATGTATTATATATAAAAACAGCACCTTGATAAAAATGGAAAAACCCCATGCCTAACCAGAAATGCTATAACAGCACATTGTGAATGCAGAAGGAATGGATGTCCAAATACAAATAAAAGATACTTGATCAATGCCTACCATCTGTGCAATAGCAAGGCTAAGTGTAATATTGCTGTCAGTCGGCTTTGCGAAGCTACAGTTTAAACTTAATTTTTCTGTTTCCCATGCCATTCTTTTATCCACTTGGAGAAACAACCACAGCCTTCTGACTGCTTAACAGTTTCTTGGTACACGGCTAGTCTATAACTTAAAGCAGCTTTCCAGGAGAAAGCTATTTCTGTGAGGAACCACAAAAAAAACCCCAACCTTCCACTTCTGTACAGGACGAGACCCTTAATGACTAGTCTGCATTGTTTCTGCAGTTCCCCTTAATGTTTCAAATTAAGTGCAAGTTGTAAATTGTATTTCCTGGACTACCATGAAGAGTTGCAGAACTAGTGTCAGTCTAAAGATCACAGTATAAAACCCACAGCCACTGAATTGAACTGCTTTCATCTAGTCTTCCTGCTTCACTAGGCCCAGATGCTTAACTCATCTTACGGTATGTTTGTAACTAAGGTGGCATAAGGAAATTGCACACAGAACAGAACTCTCTTTGGATTATGTGCTAAAAGAATCAGTGTTCCCAAAAGATTCAGAATTGTTTTACTAGATCTCACCTCCTCAACCATGTGCTTGACTTTCTTCTGTTGGCAATGGACCATATCATCCAGATGTTTGATTCGCTCTCTTAGACTAGCTGCTACCTCCTCCAAATGCTGTGACCTAGCAAAACATTGAAGAATTAAGCATGTAAGAGGGGAGCTGTGCAGTATAAGCAAAACAAGAACACACCCCACCCCCACATCCCACCATAAATCTGGAAGATTAGATGTCAATTTGTCCAAAGTACATTTTAATGGTAGTCTTTTAGTCAAAGTGGCTGTCTCCACCCAAGTTAACTCACCTTTGTCTCCCATACTAGTGTGCTTACTCAGAGCCTGAAGTGCCAATGATTAAACAATGTGACAAAGCCCATCTCCTTAGGATGTCTGTCCTTCCTTGAAGTGAAAGGCACTTAAGACATCTAGGTCTTTACCATCAGAAAGAGATATTTATCCTGACTTATTACCACCTGCAAACTTTTTGGAAATATATACTAAAGAAAAGCCAGGATGCAGATTTGCTGGTGTCCTTATAAAAGCTCTCCTGCTATAGAGAAGCTTTGTGTCAAGGATTTGGCATAGTTGCCAACCATAGCAGAATGCTAACTGGAGTAGTATTAACTCATCAACAGTCAGCAGGAATTGTTGTTGATGTTTTGAGTTTGTATGTATGACTCTTTAAATAGATTCTGCATTTCTGCACATCTATTTAATACAGGAAGTGAACATCTACAGAACTCCTGCAACAAACTGGTTTGCCAACTTGCCAGAAAAGTAGTTTTAGAATATGCAAAGAAATCGAAAGGAAGTGTCTTAATAAGTCTTTGGCTTGTTGAACCTCAATTTTTATCTGAACGTACAATTCTTGAAATTCTTCAAAGAAAGCAATCATTTGCTTATAAAATAAACTTCTGTACTCCTAGGTTCAGAATGGGATAGAATTTGAGAAGTGGAGGAGGGGAATCAAAAACAAGGCTTTTTTTCATCTTGGTCTGTGCACAGCAGAAGAAACAGTTGAAGCTGCAAATAGAACCACCATTCTAAGGCTAAGCAGCAGATGGTAAACTGCATAACATGATTCCGATGAATGATTGAACTGTATGATGTTTCCCCCCCAAAGAGTCTCTATTAATAGTGAAGTACTCTACAGAACTGTAACTACAGCACTTTGAGAGTGACTCAAAAAAAAAAAAAAAATCAAGGCATTGCTGCAGGTTTTTCAGCCCTACATATTAAGGTCTCACAAAACGACCATTTACATTTTGATTGCAATGGTAAGACATATTTGGGCTCTCGTTAAAAGATTCAGAATTTTAAGCACTGATAGACAGCAATGGAGCAATGGAACAGAAGCCCTTCCTCAGATGGAGCTCAAGTGTCTGGATGGGTATGAACAGGTACAGAGAACTTCAGAACAGACTGCTGCATCTGGACACATACTCATTGCTTGCATAGCATAGAAGGCAACTGTATGCTTTGCTTGCACTACGCAAATTCCCATCTGAACATTGCCTTTACCATTTTTACTGCAGCATAACTCTTCATGTTGAGTGGATAGGGCAGGATTCACTGGAGCAAGAAGAGTATCTGCTATCCAGAGGTACAGGAAGAAAGCAATCATCTTTCACCTCCACATTCTATATTGTATGCAACATCTGTTCACTTTAAATTATTATTTTAGTGGGCTGCTGTGTAAAGCTGTTATTAACCTGAAGCCAGGTAAGCTGGTCACAGATCAGTACAACTGGACAGTGAGGTATTTCAGCAGAGACCACCTTTTCTGTTCATGCTTCCCACAGAAAAGCAGGATGCCAAAAACATAAAGCGAAATTTCTGGGCACCACAGAAATATAAGTAGTAATCAAGGACAATTTGTATCGGGTCTGGCTGAGCTGATTTTCCCCTTGCAGCCCTCCTGGTGCAGTGCTTTGTGTTAGGAGTTAGACAGGTGTCGGTAACACCCATGTTGTGACTACCACCGAGCGGTGCTCGCACAGCACCGAGGCCCTTTGGAACATTCCCCCCACAATGGGAGGGGGGGGCAGGAGCTTGGGGGGAACGTAACCAGGACAGCTGACCCGAACCGACCAAAGGGATATTCCATACCATATGACATCAGCTCAACTATAAAGCTGGTACAAAGGAGGAGGAGGGGGTGGCTACTCCTGGGTCCTCTGGAGCAACCGCTCTGTGTTTTGGAGCCCTGCTTCCCAGGAAAGGCCAGACATCAACTGCTGATGGGAACCAGGGAATAAATCTTTGGTTTTGCTCTTTGCTTCCACACACAGCATTGCTTAACTTTTGCTTTCTCATTAAACTGCCCTTGTTTGTTACCCACAAGGCTTCTGTCTCTATCTTATTTTTTCCCTTCTCCTTTTGCTCTGTGGAGGAAGGAGAGGAAAGGTGGAGGGTGATAGAGGAGCTTGGTGGGCATCACTTGTTCAGCCAGGGTTAACCCACCACACAATTATTCAGTCCTTTCTTGTAATTAATCTTTACCCACTCAAATAGTGTCATATAAACCTCTGAGTAGAAGAAGCAATTTTCACTCCATGCTATTTCAGTGCTGGATAGATTTCTCTTGAAATTTTGCCTCTGACTTTGCTTGAAGCTTTCTTTTGCCTGGTCATGGTGCTCAGTCAGTCCCAAAGTAGTAATAGATGCACGTGCCACCTGTGGCCAAAACCCAGCACATCCATGTGCCACCACACTACTAGATCCTTCTTCTAAGCCTCAGGCTTCCAAGAACAACCATTCACAGAGGTCTCACTGCCAATAACATCGCTCTCACTTTCCCCAAATCACTTCATAGCTTATTTCTATATTATGATGCTACATGACAGATTTCCTACACACCTTAATTTTGTTCACATGCATATTTTAATGTGCACCACATGTAGATCTGCCCCTCCAAGCTCAAATACATTCCACCATGCTTTCCCTCTTTTACATGAAAGAGATACTTCTGGCAGTTACATGCAAAACTCTTGCTCTCTTCAAGAGTTCATATTTTCAAAGGGGACATCCTACAGCTTAATACAGGATACAGCATGTCTTTTCTTTTGAAACTATTGAGCAGTCTACAAGGAGATAATGAAAGTATTCATAGTCAGGATTATACTGTGCTGAATTTGGGAATGCAGATTTAGGAAAAATGCAACCCACAAATGTGTCATAACATGTTCCATCTAAAAATGTACTCTCTGTGTTTGCCAAACAGCTTATCAAGAGAGATGCATGAAAGTGGGTTTTGTTGCAAAATTAGTCCTTTTGATATTCTACATGCTAATAAACTTACACTCAGATGGACAATCCCTACCAGACTGCAGTTTTAAAGTTAGAAAAAGTAAAATTCATGTGTGTTCAAAAACAAACAAATCCCTGAAGCTTCCTAGCAATACCAGAAGGTCCACAGACAAGATGTCTCACCTTTCGCTATCGGAGTCGTTTTCAGATTTTGCTCCAGATATTTGTATTTCATTTAGTTCAAGTTGTTTTTGCAGCTGGTGACGTTCCTAAACAAGAAACGTATCCTTAGTTCTCCATATGGCAAGACACAAAGGCGTCACAAAGCATACTACCATTAGTTTTACAGTAGTGCTGCCAGTGTCACAAGAGGTAAATGTCTCAAAACATTTCTACTTTCAGAGCTTTAAAAGTAAATTGTCAAAAACCTGCTCTCAATTACAGTTTGGTAGGGAATATTTAGTGAGGGAGAGGAATAGTTAGAAGTTCTTGATGCTAGCAGGAAAGGAAGAACCTAACTTTTGGGATAAAAGGCAGTAAAAATTATTTTTTCTTCTCTCCTCAAAATACTCTGAGCCATAATTTAAGTAAGAGGTATCTGCATGGAATATGAAGCGGCTGCTACACAAAAACCCTCAAGGTTTCAGTTTAGCATTTCATCCATGTGTGAACAAGTTTGGATATAAAATTCCAATCAGGACTATAAATGGCTAAATAGTAAGATCCAATCTTAACTAAAACACATTTTAGTGGACCTACCAAAAGCACTTTTAAGAAGCTTTGCATCATTTATGATTACTACTAAGCCTAATGAGGCTTACAAGACTTTGCACACTAAAGGAAGATTAAATGGTCTTTTTAAACTCTTTCATTAAAACAATAGTTAATTTGCTACATAATTTACTAACTTTTGACACCTTAGGCAGCCCTGACTGTAAAGACCACTAGAAAGACAGTTAACCACTTAATTACAATGTCTCTATGGCAGTCCAGGTCTGTTTATATTTATGGATATAATAACTAGCAAGCAGCAGCAGTATATCACTGGGCATGGTACCAAGCAGCAGACAGAAAAAAAAAAAACAACCAAATTTCCTCCATGCACTTCTGCATTTCCCTTAAAGGCAGCGAACAACTAACTCTCATACCTCTTCCATGCGTTCAATCAGACGGTCCAGCTCACCAATTCTCTGGTCTTTTTCCTGTATGCTTGTTTCTGTAATCTGCATCTTCTTATTTGCCTCTTCAATAGCTTTCAGAAGCCTATTTGTTTCCTCCTTCAGATAAGAACATTTACAGTCACATTGACATCCAAGATATTAATGAGAAATTTTTTATTACTTTTTAGGCCATCAAGCCAGGCTAATAACTTTTAAGCAGAGCTTAAAACATTTTACTACACCTGCCCAGAAGTCTGGAAGAGTTGTGACCCTAAATGTGAATTGTATAGAACAAAAGATTTGGGGCACTTTGAAGTGCATAGGTATATGTAAAGCATCATTAGGAAAATCTGAGAAAAAGCTTCTATCCATTTCTTAGATATTTGTTTTCCCTTCTGAGCATGCCATGAACTAACAACATAAGAAAAATATGCTTTTGCAGAAGATAGCATTTTAAACACTGAAGTTTGCCACGTTCAGTTTTGTACTTTCCTCACGTATGAAACAATACGAACAGACAGAGACTGAGGAATTTACCTTCAATCTCAGTCATTATCTGTATCAGTTAGAAAAATCCAGTAACTAACTGCTCATAGAAAGACAGGGGTTGAGGAAAACCAGGGAACAGGAAAAGTTCTTGCTCCAGTAGCATCCAGTGAAGTTGTTCCCCCTCCCCTTCTTAAACTATCATTAAAACTGGGCATTATATTTTCTTTGTCTTTAGAGAACCAGAAGTTAAAAAGCCCAACTCACTCCATTTCAAATTTTGAAATCTAGATTACTATTACTGCTACTGTGTTTGAACATAGTCTTTTCTTAGCCCTGAAAACCCAGAAGCTTGGAAAGTTTAGTACCTGTGACATGACTAGTCACAAAGACAGGAGTGAAGGAACACATGTCAACTCTGGAGTGTTATGTGATTGAGAAATTACACCCAAGCTAAGCAACATTCTTACAGACTGACTATACATACTAGGAGGATTTCTTTCTCAGCTTTATGTTTCTGTTCCTCTTCTCGCATTTTTTCCTCATACTGGCTATAGAGTTTTCTTGTCATCTCTCTCATGACTTCCGCATTGGCTTCCTGTGATGACTCCACCTAAAAGAAGGGAAAGTTGACACATCAGTCAGTACAGCACTGCTGGTAGGACAAACACAAAAGCTCTCATGATGCGAGGATAACACTTTGATCTTCAGCGCTACCTTGTTATAAATTTGACACTGTTGAAGCATATTTTCATTTGCATCAAGAATATTTACAACACTCAACCAGTGTACAAGCAATTCACATTTGCAGAAGTTATTGTTCCGTCAAGTTTCATATTGTCTGAATTTAACTAGTCATTGCTTATCCAAGACCGGGCTATGCCTCTTTACTGAGTCCTTCCTTAACAGCTTCCAAGTCGTGTGATTTCTTTCCACATTGAAAAGATCTTGTCTTCCTCCATTTTACAGAAGCATAGATTGGAGATGGTCTAGACTTGACTCCTGTTTCTTGAAGACCACCAACACTCAAGGCAATAATTACTTTAAGCTGGACCCAAGTATGTGGTGTTAACTAGAAGTACAGCTGTACCCTCCCTCCTGTCTCTTGCTTTTTCACATACTGCTCTTTGCGTAGGCATAAGAACTGGGGTGACCGTGGAGCAAAGCACGAACAAGCAGACTTCAAATTAATATACTTGGTGTGTGGAAGGGTTAATTTTTAACCACATGACCAGAAACTTCACTATTGCTACAGGGAAGAGGACAGGGATGGTAATTCAGAGACAGGATTTCCCCCTTCTTTTGGCTCAAAACACTGACTGAACCACACCCTCAGTGATTAACCACCAGACAGGATGTTCAGTTTAAATCCATCACTCTGTAAACTGCAACAAAAGCAAAGTAAAATAGCCAGTCCAGGACTTAGGCCTAGAGAAGCTATAAATCAGACAAGGTTATAGTGAAATGCTGTGGGTGCTACAAAAACATCCAGAAGAAGAGGAATATACTGACATCTGGGAGAAGAATAAAGTGTTCCCTGATGATCACTACAGTTTACACAGCTACAAAATACCTGGTTCTGATGATTAAGGGTTGTTTTTTTTGTTGTTTATTTTTGTTTGTTTGTTGTTTTTTTTTTATTTCACAGACTGAAAGTTTTATTAAACCTTTTTTATCTTCCATGGTGGAAACAAGCTGTTTTACTACCCTGTAGGGTGACAACAGCGTATTTCATCCTTTGAAAAGGGAGTGAGCTCTGAAGGACTCCACTTGTAGGGCAGTTGCCCCCTTTGGCATCTCATCTAGACCAACACTGGGACAGGGGTAGCAACCTGTACTTTGTGAGGAGTGGAGTTAAGGTATGGTACAACACAAAACCTTCCACTTTTCAGGAAGCCTGAAAGAATCGTTCAGAAAAAGGCAACAATCAAACCCCAGAATTCTTAAGTACAATACACTGGAACACGATCTCTATCACTGGCCCTCCCACCATTCCTTTGCTTACAGCTTGACCAATGAGGACAGTAAAAACAAGCAAAAAAAGGCAGTCGCATCAGGGCATCTGTTAATAGTACTCTTAAGTAACGTCTCCAACCTCAGTTATCGTTAGGATTTTACAAATAAAGGGAACCTACTTATTAAGATTCATGGGTGTGTTCTCCGACCCAGAAAATAAGCCTGGCATATGGCAGTTACTGCTTTTTTTTCCAGCTGCTGATCTCCTAGATGTCACACCATCCTCTTATATTCACCCCTGGAATTAAATCCCAGATGTCTTGGCATCTTTGATACAAAATTTTATGTTTAACTTTCAAAGACAGCCATGAGTTATTTTATCCACTAACTTTGTAATAAAACTGCAACTTTGAGGGCAAAATTTAAACTTTTTTCTCATTAGAACAAGGCATGTAATCTGAAAAACTTGACATGCTTGAAGATAAACAAATCCTTAAGCATTCAGTTGAACTAGGACTTCACCTGCAGTTCTCTGCCCTTAGAAGCAGACATACCTTGTCCTGACTTGTTGGTGCATGTCTTTAGGATTATAGTAAAGGCTACTGTTTTGAAATCTTAATAGCATCAGCTTTACTTTCTTCTTTTACTTGTTTTTCCCCTCTTTTTATTTCCTGCTGACAACTGCAGGTACAAAATACAGCTACTTTTATAGACTGTAAAGCTTCACTATGGGAGGAAACTAGAACGTGAATTGGAAGTTGAAATACACTTCTGTTAATGTTTTGTCTTTTAGCTATTCATCATTAAGCACGAATGCAAGTCACTAGCGCGCCGAAAAGAAACACATTATCTGACAAAATTAAACATGAATAAATGAGCAGTCACCTTAATTTCACAGTCACAAATTCTGATAGAGTACTACATTCAAATTAGTCTGTTTTGCACAGCTTTACAAGTGACAAAGGTTTCCAGATGACGGTTTTTGGGGTTGGATTTTTTTAAAAAAATAAAGCAATACATTTGGCAGATGAGGAGAGAAAACAGTCAAACTTTCTGGCATATAAAACCTTCCAGTCTGAATATTATTCCTTTGCATTTCTCTGAAAGAAATAATTTAATTCTTTCCATGACACTTGATGTTACAGAATATATCTGCTGACCATACACTTGTAAGACTTAACAGATTATCCATTAAAAATTGTGCAATACCAAATAAGCAAATCCAACGTCAAGAAATTCTTATAGCACTGTGTGGCACCTTACTTACAGCAGTGGACACTAATAACCATTTAATGGTTTGAATTTTCACCTGCCAACTTCCCTGAATGATAATCCTGTGTTATGGAAAAACCGACTGCTGTCAGCTGGGATTCTTTGTTACTAAACCAGTATTGATTCACAGAAATATGTCAGCTCTAAGGAACGATGACGGCACGAAGAATGAAGAACCCTTTACAAACAAGGCCAAGGAATTAATTTCACATACTCCTAATGCCCTTGCTGTGCAATATATAGTTTAGATACCACACCTTTAATTTCAGTAACTGATTTTCAATTTGTGCTGTTTCCAGCTGCTTTTGCTTCTCTCTCAGCTTTTCCATGGATTGCTCATGTGTATGTTTTAAATTCCTTATTTGTTCCCTTATGTCAGTGTTCTCCAATGTAACATCCACTAGTGTTTTCTAGGAAAAAAAGAGGCAAACCATATATTAAAAATCACAAATAATTTGGTGAACTAATATAGTCAGGACATTATGGAACAGACAGAGCATTTAAAAGTTTCCTGATGTATCAGTGCAGTGTGAAGAGTTTTGCAAGTTTTAACATTTAAAATTATGGCTTTTGTTGTAGTTTGCTAGAAGGTACTTCCATGAAGAACATGCTCAGTGAAATTACATCCTGGAATACAATTTAAAAAAGAAGAAAAAAGAAAGGAACATTGCTACATTTCAGTGTGAATACTACTCCCAACAATCTTCCTTTCTTCTCTCCAAGGGCCATGCTTTACATATTGAATGCACTAGACTGAGACAAACTGTGACATACAAGAAAGCAGGAACATTAAGTTGTTCAACCTGGACATGTGGGAATTTGGAAGTCTTTAAAACAAAAAATTCATTCCCACGTTCTCCCTCCCCCACATTTCACAGGTATGTAAAGTCTCATGTGTTTAGGATCCAAACACGCCACTTCCACTTCTGTTAACCAGTGAAGGTAGGAATCAGGAGATATACCATTTTGCACAATACAGGCTAAATCATATTTTCACCTTAGGTATTTTGTAGAGACATGACTAGTGGCATTAATTTGCTGCAGATCAGTATCTCTTTACTGCACACTATTTTTTAACAAGATTTTAAAAAACATAGATGTTGAAATATTTTTTCCCCTTAGTTTCCTAAATTGGCTGCCTTAGATATCCAAGACAGTACTTTATAGGCTTGTTTAGCACTAGAATCTATATTTGTCATCCATGTTTTATATATGCTTTTAAATCTGTGTTAGCAAAGGCAGTTGTCAGCTGTGAAACAGCTGTGAAAATGTACCTGCAAGTCTATTGATGCTGATGTCAAGGAGCTGTTCATTTCACTAAAGCTATCTAAGGCTGCAGCCTGCACTCGCACATGATTCTCTAAGGATTCTTGATGAGCATTTGTCACCTAAGCAGGGAAAAAAAAAAAAAAAAGTTTTATATAGAATAATGATCAACTTTACCTATTCTTTCAAAGGCAGCTACAGAAGAGAAAGACCCCCTGGTTAATTTTCACAATACTAAGATGCTTAAAATATACAGGCCTCAAACCATGTTCTTGGACCTCAGAAACAAACAAACAAAACTTAGAATCAAGTATACTGACAGAAATAAGGCACAAGTATCTATGTTTATTTGGAAAGTCTGTAATCACTATAAAAGCTGTTCTTTTTGAAAGGACAAGAAGACACTTGGCAGATATCTATTCAGAAAGTTGATTGAGTCAGAGTGGAAAGATTTTAAAAAGTCACAGAGTGAAAAGCAGAAGAATGCAAGAAATGAGGAAATATAGAAAGGTTTGGGTGAACTGTAGAATATTAACTAAGAAGGAACGGACTAGTCAGGTATGTAAGAAGCAACATCAAGAAGACTTAAGGATGAAACAATACAAAGCAGGTAGAACTCAGCAGAGAGCTTTGTTGTGTGAAAATTTGTCATCCTCTGTTATGTACATACATACACACATACTTGAAAACTGGGAGGGGGAAAGGCACAAAATGACATAATTTAAGACAAACAGTGTAAATAATTATGAATCATCTAATAATAAAGAGAAAAAAATATATGACTAATGGAGGACAGTGCAACTCGCATTCTTAGATGGGCCAGATTTGTTTCTTGAAAAAAAACCCATAAGAACACTAGGGATTAATATGGATAACAATGAGTGTTGAGTAACCAAATCATACACAGGTTAGGGCAGCAAAAGGAGCAGAAGCCAAGTACTTACTGCTAACCTTATACAGGGGTGTGCTCATGTAAAAACCAACCAACCAAAAGTAGAAATGCTTTGGATGGATTAAGAAAGTTACAAGAGAAGAACTTGTGTGAAGAAGCATACTGCCCAGGGCAGAATATTAGAAGTAAAATTTGAACCAAACTTTTTGTTCATAAAGTAGTACTGGAAAAAGCAAAGTGGTTCAAAGCTGCAGCAAAGAGATATAAAGGATTTTAAGCAGGATCCCCAAATTGCATGAAAAACAGCAGTCATGTTAATCCAAGGGCAAAAAAACAAACAAACAAACAAAGCATATACTATTAGGTAGAACAACACCTGTGCTTTCTTTCAGATGATTTGAAGTATTAAAAAGGGGAGATGTCTCACAATGTGCCATTTATGTCAGACGGAGTGCTTCATAAACTGCTCATCTGCTGCAGAACTAGAAGCATAGAATGCTTTTGAGTTCAAAGGGACCTTTAAAGGTCATCTAGTCCAACCCACAAGACATTCCGTCACAGATTTTGTCAGTGCTGGTCAGAAACCCTTAATTAAGAGAGATGTTCAGATTTGTGCAGGATTTCTACTGGTCTGACAGAAGATCTGGAAGGGCAGGATATCACCACTGCTCTTCAGCAGGGATCAGCAATGAAGACAACAAAACTGCATCTGAATCAGGACTTGCCTGCATGCATACTGAGTGTTCAATTCACTTTGTTGGCATCATTAAGACTATTTAGCACAGTTTACTGTGTTACCCAGTTTAATTTGGTTTTCTCTCCCTCCTCTTCTCAAGTTGGGGTGATTTTGTTGCTGTGAAATTTTTTTGTTCTGTAGGTCAGGGGTTTTTTTTGAAACTAGTTGCCACAGAATAAAGGTACTTGCTTAAGAGCAAGTTCTGATCTTTACAGCTTACAGAGAACTGACAGCCCTGATGACAGAAGGGCACAAGTCAGGGTCCCAGTCTCTTGAAGCCAGAATACGTTTAATTGCCAAGGCTTCATCTGAATGGGGCCTGTGAAAAATCAATGTTGAATATAAAACCCACAGCAGGTTTTCAGGGAGATTTTTTGGACCAAAGAACTCAGCAGTTTAGTTCTACAGACTGCAGCAGCTTTTATTGCTAAAGCAGCATGTCAGAAGAAAGAGAGATCATCGAATGACCATTGAAAGCTTCAATTATGAACTTAAAGGTAAGTAATTTTTAGAACTGCCAAGCAGTTTAATACTAAAGAACATCGCTACTTCTTTTACTATAGTGTTTGAAAAAAGTCAGTAAAACAGAACAAAGTCTATTGAAATGACACCAAGTTACTAATTATGTAAGGTATTTATTCAATTCACCTGGCATTTTACTGGTATAAACATCTCCACTAATTACCAATACACACAGACAATGCTATCAAGATCATTCTTTTATTTCTATGTAGCAAGCATTTAGTAATTCCATATGCAAAAGCAGCTCTGTCCTACTTTACCTTCCTAAAGGGAAAAATAAAGACAAGTATAGATGTCACATAAAACAATTAGATGGAGTGGTTTGAGGATTATTTCTGTTCTGCTGAAAAATAATTTTTGAGATAATACTGGGACAGTTAATTCTCATATGCTTTCCATACAAACAAATATATACTTACTTTCAGTTCATTTGTAAGCTGCTGTATTTTTCGTTTCATTTCATCATATTCACCATACATTTTCTTTCTTACTTTTTCCAGAGTTGCTCTCACCTAGTGAAAAAACACATCAAGTGCATTTATCAGATTTACTGATTGAACTGTTTATACTAGGACAGGATTTTTTTTCTATGTCCTTCATTGTTACATTCAGTAACCTCCATTACTAATCTACCTTTTCATCAACAGGAATTTACAATGAAGAACAAAAACCTATGTCTCAAGACTTGTCTACAGAGGGACAGTATGAATAAACATCTGAATAATTCTAGATGTCTCTGTACACACTTAAGCACTTGTAAATTAATAATTAAATAATGAATGTCAATTAAATAATCCATAACTCATTCTAACCTTATTACTAAACTAATTAAAGTTAATTTGAGCATATAATGTTTTCCTTCTGAAAAAAAGCATCCACACATGGATTTAATAAACCTTCATACTTTTTAAAGTGGTTGATTAGTTTTCCATGGGTATCCTTTGAAGATAAACCATTTAATTTCAGATTCCTTGGCTCGTATCTAGCTAAACAAGGTATTAGCTTAAATTTACCAATGCAATTTAAAATCTGAAGAACAGAGTAGTCAATTTTATTTTATTTAATAACTATATATATAAATTATACCTTGCCTTTCTAAAAAAAGGGGGAAAAAAGCATGCTGGTTTTGGTTTACATGCCATTGCAATGATGCACAGAACCAAGCTCTCTTCTCAAGAGCACACACTGTAAACACTAGTTGCTTGCCTACGGTCTAGTTTCCAGCTAATGTAATTCAAACTCCCTTTTTTTTTTGCCCCACTCATCTCTATCAGACACAGACTGATGGCAGATAATCTAGGGCAACTAGCTTGCATTGTCACTGCATAGGCTTGGGGAAGGAGCGAGGAGAAAGCATTAGTAGGGCCTTATACAAAAGAGGATGTCTCTAGCAGCTCTCCACTATGCCCACTCCCTCACAAAAAGAGGGGTATTGGCCACCAAATTTATGCAAGTAGTTGGCACAAGGCTACCCCAAACTATGTGCTCCCTTTAGGATAAGAAACATGGAAGGAAGCATGCTTTGCCTGCACTGCAGTGGTGACATACCCTAACTGTGAGTGCAGGAACTTGAGAGTGGCAAATGCTGGGAGCTAACATACCATTAGTAACACATGAAAGAAGAAGTGCTGATAGCTAGAGACCAGGCAGATGTTAAGAGCCCACATAATTGCAGTCTCTTACACTGCTGGCTTGAATCAGCAAGCTGCCCTTTTGTATCAACTTGGTTTGCCCTTGAATCAGTGTAACACAATAACCATTGACCAATAGCTTCCTGGGTGGTGAAGATGGATAGAAAGAGGTGGTCAAATTATTTGTCCTGGGCTAATTATGGGGTTATTACCAAAGCCTGAGAAGTCAAGGACTGACAAGAGAAGAGATGTTGCATTTCAAGCACAGAAACCAGCAGCATCAGAAATGCATTTTTTTTTCTTTCAGGAGAGTCTCTGCCAATTATGATAAATGGGCATGCACAGAGAAAGTAGTACAAAGTCATCCTTATTAGGCTGACTATTTTAAGGCTGCCCCAAAATATACCCAAGTGATTTTACTATGCCACCTAATTTAGGAGCCTTTTCAAAACTGGGGGGTCTGGGGATGGTGGAAGCAGAGGAACAGAGTTTTCATCCTTTCAGGTGTCTGCTTTCATACTTTCTTCTGTATCACATCTGAAATTACTAAGGCTTCAGGACAGGAACTCCAAGGTCTTTTTGGCAGTTTGCTGGTTCAGATGTAGCCCAGTCAACAAGCATCAACAAGTATCACTTGGCACAGAGGCCTTGAGTCTGGACTGCACAGTCCGTGCTTTTTTTCCAACACGTGTGCACAGAATGCTTTTTTTCCAACTTGAATACTAACAAGGCAAGCCTTTAGCTTCAGAGTAGGCTCCCACTTCAGTCATCCTGTACACACTCACAACTCTACATGAATATAGGGAAAGGATAAAAATTCTGAAGCTAAAAGCATAGCTTACTTCTTTAATGTAATTCATCTCCTCTTTCAGTTGATCAGCCGACCAGCCATAAACCACCATCTCTCTCTTATGGTTGTTGTCAGTTCGGTGAACAACACCATACACCATCCCATGAGAGAGCTTCCCTGGAGACATGCCATTTGGTACATGGTAGAGCTCCTTAAAAGTAAAAAAATCCCAAATTATTTTTATATCAGTACTAGAATAAGGAAATAAACAAAAATACAGTAACACAGAGCCAGAAGAGACAGTCAACTATAGTGAAAGCACAACAGTACCTAAGAACATTAATTCCCAAATGTTTTGGGGCCAAACTGTCAAGCTTCATGGATTTGGGAAGATCAATGACCAGTTCATAATTGATGGAGGTGTCTAATTCCCATTGGCTTTAATGGAAGTGATACAGGTACAGCTAGAGATAACGGACTGGATTTGTGCAAGGAGAAGTAGTGGCATGTGAGAGATGTTCCCCTCACTTATTTTCATTCACCAACACATGCTACTTTTCTGCATTCTTCCAGAGCATTGTCTGCTCTCACAGTTCCCTTTAAATCCTTGCAAGCACAGAACTACCCCTCGCTCCCAAAACTCCCTTCTGCAGGGAATATAAAAATGTACAAGTTCAATCAAACATTTTAGAAAGTTCTCAGAAAAAAACTGAAATTAAAACATTTTAGGCAAGATTATTTAAAGAGAGCTCAGGAAATACCTGTTTATCTTGGAGATAAACAAAGTATAACTTCAGTTTGCATTTAAAGCTAAGGACCTCCAAAGCAATCAAACATTCATTTCAAGGCCACATGTCTCTTATAGAAGTTGTAGGACTGACATTGTAAGAGGCGAAGCAAAGCTATGAAAGAACATTCAATTCACGTGCTGTTCTAGTGGTATTAACTATTGCAGGAGAATAAAACGTGGAAATCATGTCTTGGTAGATAAATAGAAAGGCTGTTTTAAAGTGCCTCCATTTGCTATTTTAATGAACTACAGAAATTTTTAAAACATACTTGTAATAATTTTATGTCTAACTTTAAGGCACGCCTTGCAACAGACTCGTCTTATTCCTCTCATCAATACACTTAGTGAGAAAAACATTCATGCCAATGGTAGGAAACATTTCCCTCAGCATGCAAATAAATATCTGCAAGGTCAGATGTAACCACCTGACCCGACTGCTCACCTAGCCTCCCTTCTAATCAACCCAGAGAAACACCCTTATGTAGCAATCATCTGAAATGAGTCAGTCTCCAAAAGTACCAATTTCTCTTCTTCATTATAAATAATTTAAACTATTAGCTTAGATGAAGACATCCACATTATGTCTTTTTAAAAAGATGGGAAAAAATATTCTTACCTAACTTAGAACAGTTGCCAACTAGGAACTTAAAATTAGTGATTATTTCTGAATAGAAAGTTAGAAACACAATCCTGGAAAGTAAGCTGTTATTGCTTAGCTTCCCACGTTGGTTTTGAAAGGCCAGTGCTGGGGATGAATAAATTATAAGTAAAGTTACTGAACTTCCTTTCTCATGCTAGATACAGTGAGATATGGGTAAATTTGAGAATATTTACTACATTTGCCTTAGAATGTTTATTTTGTTGTTCAGTAATGACACTGCATTAAGTCCTTCCCATGACAGACAGTGATGATAGCATCTGCAGTCCAAAGCGGTAGCACTTTCACTTTTTAGCAGCCAAACTAATACAACTATGGTGGCAATGTAAGAATAAATACTTCTTCATGTAAGGGAAAAATAAACAGGAAAATCTACTTGTGTTAAGAGCAATGGGTGAAGAGAGACATTTGTTCTATGTTGTGTCCCTCCTGAATGGCACTGACAGATTTTCTCAACGTTGTAAATCCTACACATTTTCCTTTACTGTATCATTACTATCTTAACCATTTTGCTGAAGCTCTGTGAGTGCACGTGCAGGGCTGGGAGGGGAACAATCACAGAGCAGACACCTGATAGAGAATGTTTCAGGCAAAGAACAACAAAGTTATAAGCATTCATTTAAAAAGAAAGCTTTAGAAAGCCTTAAAAAGCCCTAAAAAGAAAGCATTTAAAAATAAAGCCTTAAAATCACCTAATGGAAAAACATCTGGCAACCAGCCCTACCTATAATGATGTAATTTTGCGCTTTGAAAACATCATATGCAAAGCTTTATATCCTGATAATTAGAAGTTTCATAATTATGTATTATTGGGGGTTTTCTTTTGCTGTTTGCATGTGTACAACTGAAAACCCCACACCTGATTTTTTTTGAGACTAAACACAGAAACTAGACAGGGACATGACTCAAAACTTTTTTGTGTCTGTTTGCTTCCAGGGTTGTATGGTTTCTTTGACAGTTTCATTGCAGCTCCTCCCCTGCATCTGGATAAAGGGATTACACACAAGTTTCAATATTCCTGATAACCAAATGAATAATCACTCTGATTGTTCAGAGGTTACTAAGGCACCAGACACTGACATAAATCCATACCTTTTACCCATGATCATTAATTTTTTAAGAGGTGAACAGCTGAATACCAGCAACTACCAAGATCCTTTGTGCCTCCAAAATATTAGCAGAGTTGTTAAAAGTGCTGCTTCTCTGTATGAAAACTATGGCCTTAGTTTTAGATTATTATAAATACACTCCATGCTTTGAAGGATTATCTCCCACTCTATGATGAAAGACGGACAAATTCAGAGCAATGGACGTGCAGCTGGAGAATCACCCATGACACTTGCATAGTTCACAGATTAACAGATTTAAATTTACATCATAATGGGCAATACATGCAGGATTAAACATGAACAAAGCTAGAATGGTTACGTGTCCCTTACAAGAATGCTAAACTTGCCTGTTGTCTGTATTTGTACAAGCCTCCCAAGAAGTCTTTGTCACTTCTCTATCAGAAGATTGAAAGAATCTGTTGAGTGCTACAGTTCTCCTATGTGCTACTTACAACACAGGATATTGCTTTTACCCACTCCCTAATCCTACTGTGCATCACAATCCCCAGGCAAGAAACTGTTACAATTTTACTACAGTTCTTGCTTGAACCGACAGCAACACAAATAACTGCTCTTATATTTCTTTAGTCTTTTTCCTTGCTGTTCCTATTGCAGCTATGCTCACCTTCTACTCCTTTTCTTTGGTTGGTAACTGAATTTCCACTCAATGACCACTTGTTCCAGGGTTCAGCACATGTCCTGACAAAAAAGGCCTACCTTGATGCAGTCTCCCCTTAGAGGATGCATTACAATCAGGAAACTCTGCTCAATGGAGCGTTGAGAAGTGGACGGATTGCTTTGCTTCTTGAGTATTTTTTTATATACCTTTGTCCCTAAAGGAGGCCCTGCTGAATGGCTCAGTTCTCAAAATGATCCACAGAACTGCATCACAAAGTATGCACTGAATATACTTTCTGCCAGTTTGTCTCTTCTCTTAAGCTACTTACACTATTTTTCTCCCTTCTGTGTTTTTTCCTTTTCTGCCTTGTCTTCTGTTTTTCCTCTGTCACATCCTCCTTCTCCCATGCTTTGTCTGCCACAAATCCTGGTTTTTTCCATATCCCCAGGGACTACAGAATCATCATAGAATTATTTTTTTAAATTTTTTTTTTAATTTAATTTTTAAGTCAAATACTTTTCACTGTCTTCCTCTATGTCCCAAACATATCCACTCTCAGAAGTTATTTTTTTCTGGGAAGGGCCTCACAGGTCTCCACTCTGATCTCCAGTGAGTCACCTCAGTGATGATACGAATATAAGTAAATACATGAAAGTATTTAGGAGCAAGTAATACCATAAAGCTAACCAGAAAAGTGGTTGAAGATGGAAGGTCTTGTTAAATCACTTAGCCACTGCTGTTTAAGGTCAAAATATCAGCCAGCTCCAAAGTACAGGGAAGTTCTCACTTCCCACCTGCCTATGCACTTGCTGCACTGGAACAAGCACAGTTCTTGCCCCAAATTGTGCTCAAAATCCCTTCTAATCTGAGATGCTGAGGTGAAAAGGCAGACTTAGGTGAAGCAATTTGTGAATATTTCTTTGTTTCTCTAGTCAGTTATATGACAGTCCAAGGCAAGAGCAAGAACACATCATGTTAATGCACATGAATACTATAGCAGCTTCCAGGAACACACTTTGTTTGTGTGTCATGTTGCACTTGGTGTGATCACACAGCATGTACTAAAGAAACACAGACTGTGTTTACTTAATAAATACTTAAAACAAGCCTACACCCCAAGGTTGCAAAAGTCTTGATAATTGCCATGCATCCTGTTTATGCCTCTGTCCAAGGAAGTAGCTGAAGTAGCACGAAACAGGTGAAGCAAAGACACTATAAAAACAAACCCTAAACAGGAGTTGTTAGCTGCTTTCTGTACTGGCCATAGTTTTAGTGGCATTACGTAAATAACACTAACGTATGATTTGCTTCCTAATCTATCTCCATCAGTTTTTGAAATGAAAGTCAGATACCCCCACACTTTATATTTTCTCCCCGCCCCAAAACTGATCTGTTTATATACACCATCTAAGACCTCTTCTTTTAACTAGAACTATATCAGTTAAGTAAAGTTTTATGTTTTCCTCAACTGCTGAACTCCAGAGGTTTCTGAAATATTAATTTATTTTTTGCTTGTTCACTAGTTATACAAGGAACAAGAACATTCACATTGTTACGCAGGTTACATATTTTCTGTTAAGTGAAATGACAAATTTATAATATTAAGCTCACCAAGGAAACTTACTGTGCTCTTACAAAAGCTAGCTACGTTTTTATGTTTTTTCATAAAACACTCAGAAACTCAGATTACATTTAGGGATGTTTCATATATAAATAGTATTAAAACAGGGGAAATACTGTAAAACCTAGACATGAGTGTTCTTAAATTCATGATGCTAAATAAGAAGCGTCGTTCAACACATTCCAACCTGTATCATTTAGGTGTCCATCTCTAAAAGTTACATCTAATCAATGAAATCCGTATGCAGAACACCAATGTTTATCCCCTAAGAAAATAAGATACAACAAATACAGCAGTAACCACTGAAGTCAGTGGAATGCTTTCTGTCATTCTCCTGTAGTGCTGTAATTGGTGCACATCAAAAATCAAGCAAACAGTGCTGGAGAGGCTGAGATACAGTGACATCAGCCACATGTAGCAGGTCAGCCCCATTTGTTATGACACAACTTCTGCTATGCTGGTGGGAGTGGGCTGGCAGCAGCAGATCAGCAAGGAAAATAGGCACTGTCCTAGATTCAATGTGCACAACAGCCCCACGTTCATTGCACTCGTATTCTTTGATCCAGGCCTGACAAAAGCTTCTGCTTGATTCTCTCCATCACAGGAAGGAGCAAATTCCACTTCTGGCTTACTTTTACAGCCTCTTCCAGCCTACTTTTTTGCTGAGGGGAGAGAAAAAAAAAAAGTTTGCTATGCTTCTGTATTCCTGCTCATGAAGCAAAAACAGTCTTACCTCTTGGTTGTGACACTTTAAAAAGGTAAGGAAATTAAAGAGTTTGAGAAGATATAGAGGCAAAGTACTGATTAGAGTTTAAGACTAAACACTGTTCAAACTCAGGTGAAATCCACAAAGATAGGAAAATGACATAAATTCCTAGAACATTATCTCATTTTCCTTCTCTTATCCATGTGTCTAAATGAAAAAGAGAAACCTGTCTATACATATCTCCATATTTTGCCTTCAAATGCCTAGCTGCAGCTTCCAGTGACACTTCCAAATTTAGCTGTAACAGTGAAGAAAGGGACCGATGGATAAAAATAAGCTCAATCCCAAACAGGGACAATACAATTGTCTGGTAGTCCTTTATTATGCAAGACAAGGCAGGCTTCAGGACACGTGGATTTTGCATACAATCTGACAAGCACAATATTCCTTTGTACTTCATGGTGAAGTAAACAGTCTAACACTACTGTCATCCATTGTCTATCATTAACGGAAGTAATGGAACAAAATCAGGACAGTTTCAGATTCTCTCTGCCCTAAGTGCTAACAACTCAGAGATATTTATTAGCAGGCTTTTATCCTGTAAAAAAGCAAACTGACCAACCAGCCTCTACTTGTTACTTCAGTCCTCATATGCTACTTCTGAAGTATCATAGACTAAATATAAATATAAAAATCCAACCTGACACAGTGGAGCACAAGCTCACTCCCTTTCCAGTTTTTGAGATCAACTTCTAACTGTGTACCATCTGCCAGCCTTTCATAAAAGACAGAGAGAGGCCATCCTAGTACAGTAATGCCATCAGCAAATTTGTTGCAATAAAACTGCCCAGCTCCAAACTCATTATTTGTTTTAATATCTTACACTGGTTCATTTTTATTTCAAGGACGGATAGCAATAAAAATGTCATTCCAGAAACTTCATGCACTGATACAGATGTAATGAAATACAACAAACATTTCTGCTAAACTTCAACTACAGTGAAAAAGGTTAAGCTAACATCTATTAATGTAACCAATAAAGAATGAGTTCTGATCTGGTATCAAGCTCCAAACTAAGTTACTGGGAGGGTCAGTACCAGCAAGAGCTCCTGTGCAGTTCACCAGCTGATTTTGCAACTGAAACATTGCTTAATAGTACTAAGCCCCAAAAAGATACAGAAAAGTAACAGGCAGTAGCCATCACTGTGTCACATTCAGGGCGGCTCAAAATCACCTCCTTCTAATGAAAGATTTGAAAGAGGAGATTACAACCAAATGTCACACCACGGTGTATTTATAGTTTTCTGGCATTCCCTTTGACACAGCAAGGTCTCTGCTCTCCACCCTCACCAGCAGCCAGCAGAGGCCAGGAAGTCTCTCTTTCTCCAGCACTTGTCCTGCCCAAACAGGAGAGTACCTCACAGCCAGGCTCAGACTGCCTCATCTGCCTGTGTACTCAAAAAAAACCTATAATCCCACAGATGAGCCCTGCAGTTCATTTCCGTAAGTCACGTGAATATGTTCCAAATACAAAAAAGATTTCCCATGTTCCCATTTTCTTAATGGTCGACATTTAAAGACAGCACAGAACTCTAGATTCCAACAAGAGACATGCTGTTAAATCTGATTCTTGGTAAAGCTGTATTTTTTTTACCTTAAATTATAAAGTGCAAGGCAGAAATCTGAGCAGTTCCCTAATGTCTATTATCCCTGTTTCCAAGAAGGGAATGCAGTTCTCAGGGACTGTGTAAGGATTATCTAACATTTGTAAAACCTGTTATTCTCAAAGTGCTTTAAAAGCAATTTCGTTAACGTTGAGTCAGTTGAACATGGGTGGATCGACAGAGGTACGTGATCACTGCTTTCATGAGATGCTTTTTTGTTGTTGTTTTAAATTAAATTTTGCAGTAAAAGTATCACAGCATGACTAGTCAAGGGTCCTGTCTGCACAGTAAGTTACTGTGTAACTAAGTCAAATACATAAAGCAACACATTACACAGAAAATAAAAATCTACAGGTAATAACACATGGCTATCTTGCTTTAGAGACATGAAGAAAACCCAGATCACAATCAGTGATTTTTTTATAGCTTCTTCTATACACTATGATTGTACAACATGTGGGCTATTTTTTTAATTACACAAAGACTGTAAAACACAAGTAGATGGTACAATTACTCTGTGGTTTTAATTGCTATGAAATTGACTAATTAGATCCCATCCAGCTCTGAGGCCTCTATGTATGCTTTCTAAATGTCTTTAAATTGTGTAAAAGTACTGAACTTTAGAAAACTACTTTGAAAATACAATAATTAAATGCACACTTCTTTTTTTTTGTCTCAACTAAAAAGGATCCATCTCTTAAAAATCATTGTGCAATATATTGGAATGTAAGATAATGTATTTACTACCTTTCATATCCTCTCCTTAACTTTCTCTGATATAAAACCCACTTGGTATTACTTGTATTATGTGGGAAATGCAGCACTCATTAAGGTCCCACAGAGAAAAAAAAATCGTCATGTAAGAAAGTCACTACAAACTGTCCAAGCCCAAATCATTCACAGTTCTTATTATTGCACTACTCAGCAAAGTAAAGTGAGTAAGCCATGACTCAATATCTATCCTCCTCAAAAACAAACTTACATTACTCTTAGGGCAATGGGCCCCTATACTTAGGCTAGGCCAAAGGTTTCTGCAATCAGACACAAACTGACAAGAGACTGGCAGAGTAAGTGGTAGAGGAAGCTACTCTAAGCTCCACAACTAAACACCTCTGTACACACTGAATTATTACTATTTAATAGTGGCACAAATGTCACTTGCATTAGGGCCTCTTTAATCCATTCTGCAAATAACATTTATAGATCCTCAAGAACCTGTTACTCTGTCAGAGCAGTGTATGAAAAGTATATACAAGATTCCAGCACAAGAAATACCTGATAAGGAATCTTTTCTTGACCATTTTACGTTGCATTTATTTTTATCGCTTTAAAGTGTTTGTCTTTCTGAGTCATTTTACAGTTACTTTTGCTTCTGAGTACCATTAAGAAATTACTTCAAATAAATGCTATTGTTGTTTTGCTTCCTATTGTCATATTGCTATTCAGATGCTGGGTCTGGTAAACTTAGCCAACTTCTTGTTTGATTTTAATTTATCAGACTGTAAATGTGGTGAAGGTGTGAAGCCTGCCCAGATCCCTTTTTTCGTGTCCATTCCTAAGACAAATGAAACATTATCTATTGCTCTGAAACAGCTCTTAAAGAACAAGCTCTGCACCAAAGCAGCTCTAAGTTTTTTTAGATCTTAGTCTAAAGACCTGTCTGTGCATGCTACTTGCTTCTACAAAAAAAAAATTTCCCTTCTGAACCTTTCTATGTACATGACCTTCAAATCAGTTTCACTTCAGAACAATCTTGAATTCTTTATTTTGTATTTCTTATTAGTACATCACTCATTGCTGAAGCACAAAAAAAAAATCTAAGTCCAGGCAAGCCAGCTCCCATACACATTAAGGCTCAAATCTTGCACACCGTTAAGCTGACACGAAACATAAAACCCCTTCAGGTGAGGCTCAAAGTCCTATTTAATGCAAGACCCTGCTCTTGATACTGGTTTCCTACTCTTCAACATATAAATACTAGAAAATCAAGTCTTAAAGGTACCTCAGTCAGAAACCATCTACAGTCTCTGTGGTGTTCCTCTGCTACTTTCCTATTTTACATGCAGTTTTGGTACCCCAACTCCAAGGCTCGGGATCAAAGCACATGGCTGACTTGCTCAGCTTCCATATATTCTTCAGTCTTCCAAGATGACTGGGCTTTGGGCTTCCAACACAACTAGTATCTTCTAATATTGCTTTGGAGGCAATATTTACTCCTTATTTATACAGGACTTAAATTTGATTCTTAAAACTTACATTTTTCTTTCTTTCAGGCTCCTTTGCTCCCTGTTCAGGCTGTGAGCCTTCATCAGGTGGTACTGTTAAGCGTAACCTACAGACATTCATCTGAAAGAAAAACAAAGGTTTGCTTAAAGATTTAAATATTACAAAAATTATTTTAACAACTTGCTTTACAGAATGAACTTTACCTCATTCAAGTTTTAATTTACTATTTTCTACCTTCTGCCACATAGCTGACAAAAGATTATTTTTTAAAGGTTTGGAGGGGTTTTTAGCTGACAAGAAGTGAACATCAAGGGCATCCCCATAATTACATACCTGAAATAGCAAAAATCCATTTCTATCAACAACATGTTCTTATGTACTCATAAATGACATTGAGAGCTGAGATAACAGAACAATGGACACTATTTTCTACTTTCTCAGTTTTGTTCAGAGATTTGGCATACTTTTAATCTTGAAAAAGGGATTATTTAGAAACACAAAGTGTACTTTGGAGTGAATGCCTTTTTTTCTGTTCAGTGTATATGCAAGTGTTTTATCCAAGGATACCTCAGTACTGCAATTACACTGAATGTGAATAGGAATATTCTTGAAATCTGATACATACAAGTTGTTTGTAAATCTAAGCTTCAAAATGCTTCAGAGAAAATTTAAAAGGCATTGTTTCCTGTCCAATTTCAAAAAAGCCATTGTCTTGCTGAGGAAACAGGCCAATAGTGTTTATATCTTTTTATCCCCAGTTGCAGTTTGCCTTGCTTTTGGCTGAGACGTTTTAAAGCGACACGTTTCATACAAAAAATTTGGTTCAAATTTTCAGTCTTAGTCCTATGCATGAGACACTTTTGTGGAAAACAGCTGTAAGTATTAAACAGACCATAGTGAATGATGAAATGAGAAATCTGTCTCTCCAAATTTGAAGCTACAGAATACCTTCCCATGAAAACCCACTTGTCTGTTGACAACAAACAAGGCCCTTAAATCTCTTCCTTAAAATGTCCAAAATGGCTCTTTCATGACTACTGTGGGCCATCATCACTTTTCTCCTACAGCTCAGCATCTCATCTGATCTAAAACTCTCTAGTATCTCCTACCTACTTACCCCCAGTCATGCCGAACGTGTACATTCTCTCCAAAATACACTATTCCATTGCACTTGCCCAAGCACCCAACTCATGTCTTGGTTATTACAGCACTTCCCTTTACCTTGAAATGGCAATTGTGTTCTGCTTGCAGACATTCAGAGCACAGCAGCAAAGTCCTTTCCACAGATGCCAGATTTTACCATTTCACTATTCACTTCTTCCAACTGTCAGTTAAGCTAACTTGACTTCACTTTCAAGACTCTTTATAAATAGTCTCCTCAGAGCACCACTATTCAGCACCACAACAAGAATTCCCATTTCCCCCATTTCCAAACAATAGACCTTTTCAACTTTTCAAACAAGCTTTCACTTTTTCTTCTTCCCAAGGCAAAGCATTTGGAAGAACTATCAGCAAATATCTGCAGCAACTTCACTATTTTTCCTCCAGCCTTTCTTTAAATCTATTGAGACAACAAAACAACAGCATTTAGACAACTTGCGTGCCGTCAACTGTATTTAACAAAATGCTACTTTGTGTTGCCTTCCATCTTCCTCTTTCAGCTTGGTCTTTTAGGTCTGCAAGGCCTTCTACCAAGAAGGAACAGTGTCCTGAGATAATCTGTATAGATAAAGTTCCTATGAAGTATGTGAGTTGTGTTTGCATTATAAAGAAGAAAAAAAGAAAATAGAAAAGTCCATAATAAGATCAAGGTGAAACATAACCTACTCTTTAGACGCATCTGTGGAGGCTACTTTTTGTGCAGTGGACTTCTCAACGTTAATTCAGGTGCATGCTAGAAAATCTAGAAAAAGCAGCCACAGAGAAAGTGACATAACCCCCCCGAAAATGTAGTTTAAAAGCAGGTTATGTTTTCATATTTGCTAAAGAATCCTGAAACGATGAAATGTATTTTAAAATGATGAATCCTTGCACATTGGCTTTTGAAATTGATTGACTGCTCTGTGTGTTCTTCTGAGAACACCAAATTCTCCCCCTGTACTGCAGAAACCGGAGGTGCTTCCTGCTTACCAGCTAGTTATCAACTTTGGAGCTCATTGATTCATAAAGTAATTAACATATTCTCTTCTCACCTATTTAATTTCTATTTCCACCTGCTCTTTCTTCCCATTAGCTTAGCCAGGCTCTTTCCTCTTAAAACATGCCTGCTTACAACACAAAGGGAAACAGAGTCTGGCATTCCTTCATGTAGACAAAGCCCAGACCCATTACGAGGAAACAGAACTCAATTTGTGCTATGCTGTGCAGGAAGTGATAGATGAGGCCAGTTTTTTCTTTCAGTCACTTCAAATGAATGAAAACTGGACTAAAAGGAATGAAATGATTTTTAGGAGAAAACATGAAAAATACCTCAAATAATTAGAAACAGACAATGACTGGCAAGTCAAAGTTGGAAGAAACCAGGTTGTGTATGATTCTCTGAAGCTGGCAATGGCTTCCCTGTTAGTATGGGACTAGTTATAGCCAACACACTCACAGACTCATAGTGCAGTGATCGTAAATATGTAATTATCCTTGTACCTGCCTATCAACTAGTGAATTATGACTGTCACACTACAGCAATTGATGTGTTACAGGGTTACTATGAAGGAAACCACAGAAGCCCAGTACAGACAACAGCCAAATAACAACTAGCTTTGAAATATAAATTAATAACAGTAACTTGTTGAGGCTAAAACCACTGTACAATCAAAGGGTTGCTATAACTTAAAAGTGCTTTTCTTGCCCTTTTCTTTCCACATTGCCTTCTCTAGTACCCCGAATCACTTTTTTTTCCCCTCCCCACTTCCTCCTTTCCATGCTACTTTTAAGACACCTCAAGTCAGTATCGTATTTTTTTCAAAATTTCTGACACAAAATAAAGTTTTCATGCTTTACTTTGCAGCCTGTTGCACAGAAAAGCCAAACAGAGGGTGGCATTGGCAATCATCTAAGGATTCCAGCCTTGACATTATGCCCTGTGAGGCTTGTACAGCAGTGGCAAAGTACCACCCAATTCCTTGCTAGGACAAACTTATACAGGCTGTACTCTTGCTATTGTTTATAACAATAGGACTTCCTCAGCATCCCTGAGGAAACACATAGAAAGTAGCCATTCACTGTTGCCCCTCCTGGGCCGCAGATGATGTGCTCTAAGGACAGAACTACACACCAATCTGTTAAAATTCAAGAACACTATAAAGATTGGAAGGGAAAACCAACAGGCACAGCTTTTTCCTCTAGCCTCCAGAAGAAATGACGAATGCTGTACCTATACTGTTCCTGCAATGCAGCGTTTCCTGAAGAAACAATACACTTCACCATTTGTTGGCAAGTTTACTTGACCAAATGAATGAGCAGGCTCACATGGAAATCACAGCAAGCCTTCCTCCAACAGCAAAACACTGCTGCAGTGATGCCTTAAAATGGAAGTGAAATTATAACAGGAAGAGCTTCCACTCAGTGCCAAACAGTGGCAGAATTTCCAGAAACAAACCGACTTATGCAGAGAGAAAGCTGGGAGGAGAGTGGAAGAGAACTCCCCTAGCAAGGAAAAGGCTGTGATTCAGTTTTGTTCAACTGCTGACTGACAGTAAGAGCAAGTGAGGGAAAGAAGGGTCAGAGGTGGCTTCCACTCTACCTTTTTATCATCAACAGTGTAACTTTGTGAGTGTAACTTTTAAAAAGGAATACTGGATTGAAGAAGAACCTGGTATCAGCTTTTCTACGCTATCAGATTTTTGTTTGACTTGCAGCATCTGTAGCATTGGCAAGCCAACAATATAAGTAATCTTCATTGTACCAACATTTTATGTTCACTCCTGGCTTTTTGACACCAACAACCCACTAATAGTATTTTCAAAGCTCGTCTGACATAATTTGTGGAACAAATATGCCGACATGAAAATGAAGACTGGCACGTTCAGCCCAGCACGGCACCGAACAGCAAAAGTTTGCTGAGCACAATGGAAATTAATAGGTGAAGATATCCTCTTTTACCAAATTCCTAAGAGACTAGAGTGAGGCAGCTACCAAAGTATGACAGTTAAGAAAAAAGTCGGTGTAGTTTAGTTAAAAATGTTAAGAATTCATGGCCTAGATTCACAATCTACATTCATGTTTACCATCCTACTCAAATCACCAGGGTGCAGCTTAAAAACACAGATGGTAGAATCAGTTTGTCAGCCTCTTCTTCTCCCCTTCTGAAAACCAAAGAACCCAGAAAGGCACTGATCACACGTAACTACATACTGAAATAATTACAGAGCTAGCATTAAAATAATGAGTGATGTTTGTACAGAATAACCAAAGTTAGTAGTACAGCAACAGAAAAATATCAGCAATTCTACTAACAACCAGTCCCATTCTAAGATTTTTACAGTACCTCCACAGGGAAGAAGTAGTTCAATATTGATCTAGCTTAAAATAAACATTAGAGTTAACATCACTGGATAATAACATTGTTGATCTTTTTAATGTCTGATAATAAAATGGTTTGAGAATAACATGCTTGTTGAGTAACTGTCTGCCACCCTCCCAGCTCAATGTCCAAAAATCACTCCCTTTGCCTAAGACCCAGTGTTAGTTTTAGACTTTTGAAGGTGAAAGCAGAAAAGAAATGGGTGCTTAACTTCTGTGAGCCCTAAAATGAAAGAAAGTACTTTCTTTTGTCATTTATCTTTGATTAGCCTGCTCCATTTATGAAGTCTCTGCTGTAAGATTCCCCACACAATTAAAGGGCACTTTTCCTGTGACCACAGGCACACAGGAATGTGACACACATCTTTCATTTATTCTGCAGCTAGTCTAACTCTCTGCCGCGAATCTTTTGGCAACTCATGGTAAGGGAGAGTCACATTTCACTGGAGAAAAAAAAACCGCAACCACAACAAAACAGCAGCTTCCTAGTGGGTTTTATCTGCAAATCAGATTTTTACCAGTTTCCTTAAGAGGATGTATCAAATATAGTTCATTTTACATCGGCCCAGGAAATATGCCACAGGGATGATAATAAAATTATC